GATTGAATCCACACGATGTCTGATGTCCTATCAAATAACCTAGTCAGGTATTCATGGCTGCTGACAGCTAAATATGGACTATAAAGTGTTAAGATCAGTGAGGCTTGGCACCTAACTCAGACAAAAGCTTCAGGGAGAAATGACTGGGTTAAATAAACCCAAGAAGCTGATTTGGGTAGAATTTCTTCTGCCTGACCCACTAACAGCTGTGAATGGGATATTTTAGAAATTTTTATTTTTATTTAAATGCTTCAGTGGGTCATAGCCCCTGGAAGCAAGAACTTGGCTGAGGCCCAGCCTGGGGAGCACTGCAGGAATGCAGGCGGTCAGCTGCCACATGGGGCGTGGGAGTGGGATCGAGGTGGGGGAGGGTGGCCTGGTCAGGTGGGAAGTGGCAGCAGCTGCTGACCAGGGCAGTTCCCATTGCTGTGTTTGCTTTCCTCTTGCTCACTATAATTAAAACTTTCCCAATATGATTCTGGCTTCCTGAAGGGAAACTAGAATTAAAAAGCAAACAAACCAGCAGAGATGCTTGGTTGCAATATACGTATATTTTAAACCATAAAGCACTTGGTCGTGTGTTGAGGTCACTGATGTTGGTCATTTTCACGGTAACTAATTTTCTGCTGTAGCCCTGGCAAACAAACAAAATTAACAGAAAATAAAAAGCCTAATTGTATTCACCAAATGAGATAGGCTCATGCCTCATGTGAATTCTTCATTGACCCAATCACCCTCTTTACTCCTGAGACAAGGAACACACTCCTCTGTTTCTTTCCACTTTTTTTCACCTTCCTCCCTTTTCATCCCACCTCTTCCCTGACAGACAACATAGAATCCGTGGACCAGAAGAAATGTTGTTTTATTCCCGCTCGAAGGATATAACCTTCCACTCCCCACGTAGCTTTGACAGTTTTCTCATTCGCTTGCTGAGGATATCAAGAGACGTTGACCTTCTAGTTTTGCCTAAAGAGGGAACAATCAACGACTATTATGTTCCAGTTCCCGATTCACTTTCACTGTGCCCTTCCTCCCCGCTCCCCACGTCCTCACCTACCTGTCACCTTCCCTCATGAGCATTCTGCTCAACCTCCAGCCCCTTCCCTGATGTGGAGGTGCTTCCAACCGCAGCATTCCCTGCTCGCAAGAGAAAGCACGGCCCCTAGGAGTGTTTGCTCCCGATTTGATTAGATTAGTCCCATCAGCAGGAAGAATTAGATTTTGGTGTTACTGTGCTATCTGTGGAAGGAGAAGATATTGTCAGACATCACTTAAAGAGCCCTGTCCCTTGGATGCCTGGGAACTGCCGAGAGAAATTAATCTTCTAGCTATTTAAGGCAATTTCTTTTCCATCATCCTTTGTCAAGAGGATTGCATTGGGAAATTGAATCTGATGGGAGTCCCTGAACTGGTACACTCCACTCAACAGCATTTCTCCAACCCTACGTGGCATCCATCATTCCACACAAGCAGAGACATACATTGCTGCAAAGCCAACTTCCCCGCAGCCCCCAGCAACAAGAAACCACACTGCACACGGGGATAGGATTGGGCTTAGTCTTGCAGTTTTCCTCTACCTCTTCTCTACTCTCTTTCCAAAAAACCTACCACAAATTGATCTCTTCCATTAAGCGAGTCTTCCTTTTATCTAAGATCCAGGAGATTACAGAAGCAGGGAGATGCCAGAGCAGAACGTGGGACTGTTGCTTATCCTTTTTCTTGCCTGAACATAAGACTCAGCTAGTGAAGAGCAGGTGTTTAAACACCCAAACCACTGCCAAAGCCAAGGATGAGACAGAAACAGGGCAAGAGCAACATTGCTTTAAGACCATCTTTCTCCAGACTGACTTTTTGACCAGGGGCTAAGAGCCTAGGGCATTTTATGCTCTCTGGGGTCATAAAGAATTACAATCTTCAACTTTCTTTTCACCCTTAAGGTTATTTTCAGGGTAGGTATTTTTCAGACTGTGTTCCTTGGTCCCTGGCTGGTGTAACCCACTGGTTATAGCATAGCCCTGTGCACTGAAGGGCTGCAGGTTCAATTCCTGGGCAGGGCACATAACCAGGTTGTGGGTTTGATACCCCGGGGCACATGTGTAAGGCAACCAATAAATGTTTCTCTTTCTCTGGAATCAATGGAAAACTTATCCTCAGCTAAGTATTAAAAAAAAAAAAAAAATACTTGTATTCCTTGGGGCTTTAAGAAGTGCCAAGGGGAGAGATGCAAATCAAAACAACAATGTGGTACCATCTCACACCTGTCAGAACAGCCAACATCAACAAATCAACAAACGACAAGTGTTGGCGAGGTTGCGGAGAAAAAGGAACTTTCGTGCACTGCTGGTGGGAATGCAGACTGGTGCAACCACTGTGGAGAACAGTGTGGAGTTTCCTCAAAAAACTGAAAATGGAACTCCCATTTGACCCAGTAATCCCACTCCTAGGAATATATCCCAAGAAACTAGAAACACCAATCAGAAAGGATATATGCACCCCTATGTTCATAGCAGCACAATCTACAATAGCCAGAATTTGGAAACAGCCTAGGTGCCTGTCAGCAGATGATTGGATCAAAAAACTGTGGTACATCTACACAATGGAATACTATGCTGCCATAAAAAAGGAATTCTCATCATTTGCAGCAACCTGGATGGAATTGGAGAACATCATGCTGAGTGAAATAAGCCAATCAATGAAAGAGAAACACCACATGACCTCACTCATTTATGGATAATAAAGAACATTATAAACTGATGAACCAAAAGATAGATATAGACAGTAAAGCAACAAGCAGACTGTCAAATTACAGCAGATAGGGGAGGGAGATCTGGGGGAGATAATAGATCAACCGAAGGACTTGTAATACATGCATATAAGTACAACCAATGGACACAAAACTCTGGGGAGGGTATGTATGGGAGGGGGGGCAATGTTAAAATATGTACACAGATAATAATTTAATTTAAAAAAGTAAAAAAAAAAATCAATAAAATATATTAAAAAAAAAAAAAAAAAAAGAAGTGCCAAGGGAGTATGTGTATGTATGGCAGGTGGAGGTGGAGAGGGTGTTGTAGCTCCAGGGGCGGGGAAGTTCAATGGTTGAGGTTCTGGACCCCTCAGTTCTATTTCAACCTGATTTAATTTTTCAGATGTTGGGATTTCTCATGAATTTTTTAAAAAAATATATTTTATTAATTTTTTACAGAGAGGAAGAGATAGGGACATAGAGTTAGAAACATCAATGAGAGAGAATCATCGATCAGCTGCCTCTTGCACACCCCCCACTGGGTATGTGCCCGCAACCACAGTACATGCCCCTGACCGGAATCGAACCGGGACTTTTCAGTCCAGAGGCAGACGCTCTATCCACTGAGCCAAACCGGTTTCGGCTCTCATGAATTTTTTTTAAAGAAAGGTTCTAATTTTTTAAAAAGGTCTGCATCCCAGCCAGTGTGGCTCAGTGGTTGAGCACTGACCCATGTACTAAGAGGTCACCTGTTCAATTTTCGGTCAAGCACATGTCTGGGTTTCAGGGTTGATCCCAGGTGGGAGGTGTACAGAAGGCAGCTGATCAATGATATTTCTCTCACAAATGTTTCTTTTTCTACCTCTCCCTTCCTTCTCTAAAACCAATAAAAACATATTTAAAAAATAACAAGATCTGCAAAAATAGTGTCCGGAGAGGATGACTATACCTCTGCCTCTCACACAGTTCACCATTGGCCAATGGCTCCCCCCTGCTTTGCCTACAGAGCCAGTCCGGGTCCATGCTGGCAGCTCCCCGACTCCAGAAATCCTGAGGCCCTTTTCAGCAAAATGAATCTCCTTAGGCACGAGAGTCATTTGTTTTCCAAACTCCCTTCTCCTATCTCACTAATTCCCAATTTCCCTGCATTTGACAAATGGAATTAACAAGCCTCGATCAGTTCCTGGCGGACAGCCCTCATTAATCAATAAGTCGACTGCATAGGCTGAGGGAAGGGAAGGTGCAGGAAGGAGAGGGAGCCACAGCACAGGGAAGCTTTACCCTATTTCTATGAATGACCCCTCCCAAAACATGACACCCAGTTGTCACTAACCACTTTTTTCACTTTTGCTAAATACAAAGCAGAATTGTTTATGCCTTCCTCTTCTGTCAACCCCCACCTTTCCTGTCTATGCCTTCTCTTTAACAGAAGGTCTTGCCATCTGCTGCCACCACTAACCTGGGAAGCCCCTCTCGGTGCTGGATGTGATGAATCAGCCATGTCTCTGCTTCTTCCCCATCCACATGTTCCCATGACAGTTCTGTACTGCTTCCTGCCCCGGAGTATATAAGTCACCATCATCCCTCTGTCCCCAACACATACGCACTGGAGGGTTAGCAAGCTTGTGGTCACTACTGCTTTTTGTCTTCTTTTCCTGGGGTCCAAGCTTTCCCTTCTCAATTGGTTTAAAATTCAAGATTTACCTTCTTCGCCTTTGTGCTCTGCATGTAACACAGTCCCGTCTCCCCCACCCCAGGGTCAGCGCCTCTGCAGTTCTGCCTGGTACAGCCCTGTGTATCTTTCTACCTCATCAACTTTTCATCTTTGCAAACGGAATCGGGAAGTCTCTCCCTCCTCCCTGCTCCTCTCTCTTTCTCCTTTGTTATTAGTTTCATAAGTAGGGACATTAATGCATCCACTAGACAATGTTTTCACACCATTGTTTCCGGTAATTACAGTCACTTCCCTCCCACTGTCCTGGTTTATTTGACTGTAAAGTGCTTAGAGGAGGGATAGGGTGGAAAAAAGACACAACACAGGCTGAGGTCCAGTAGTGTAATGTTAACATCCATGAAAGGAAAACCAATCTTCACCTCCGCAACAGCTCATTAACAACTGTAACAACGGAGGTCAATGCACCAGAACTTAAAAAAAATCAATATAACTGGGGACCCCTCCACTATAGAATGGGGAGTTGTACCCATATTACCAACAACAGTCACCCCAAACACAAGTAGCTACATCCACCCTCCTTCAGGGGGTAGATCCAGTGTACTTGTCATGTAAATCAGCCACATTTTCACTGGAGACTCGGATCCAGCCATCCTCACGGACATGGTAGAGGTTGACCGAACCTCCTGAGTAGGCATCTCTATAGGTGGCTTGGTAGATGGCTCGACGGGCCAGATCATAGGCCTCTTCCACCTCTAGGTCATAGGAGTAACCCCGGTCCATGACCCCATATGCATACACAGAGCCAGAACCTACAGAGAAGGTGACCCCCGAGATCCGGTTTCCTTCACTGTCCACGTAGTAGAGGCCTGGAAAGAGAGATGAGGTTAGCAGGAAAACAAATGGCCACCCCTTTTGACATCTAATTCACCCTCCAAGGCAACAGATCTCCATCACTCTTGAAACCCCAGGGAGACCAGCAGAAATATAAGAAAAAAGCACTACTATAAAATTGCTTTAAAAAAAAGGCTGGAGGCTGAGACCGGTTTGGCTCAATGGATAGAGCGTCGGCTTGGGGACTGAAGGGTCCCGGGTTCGATTCTGATCAAGGGCATGTACCTTGGTTTTGGGCATATCCCCAGTAGGGGGTGTGCAAGAGGCAGCTGATTGATGACTCTCTCATCGATGTTTCTAACTCTCTGTCTCTCTCCCTTCCTCTCTGTACAAAATCAATAAAATATATTAAAAAAAAAAAAAGGCTGGAGGAATCAAATTAAATATTAAGACTCTGGAATTCTATAACATACCAACCCATCTCACCTCACATTGTAGTAACCACCTTCTGTCCTCTCTGTATAATCAAAAAGCAAGTATAATTGAAATGACTTAGGTTTCAAATACAGAACTTCTGTGCGAGATAGTATTTAAAACAATCCTAGCCCTCAAAGTTTAGACTATCTGGGGCATAAGAACTACATCATACAGTAGAGAATAAAGCCCCAAGTTCCAAATCACTTCCCACTGTGACTACTGAGCATTTCAAATGAAGCTAGAGCCATGATCGTATAGTGGTTAGTACTCTGCGTTGTGAAATGAAGCTATAACCACATCAGGCAATGATATTTTGGATCTATTGGATTAAATAAAATATTCTATGAAAATTTATTTATTTTTAATTTTTTAAATGTGGCTACTGTAAAGTTTAAAATTACATATATGGCTCACATTTTATTTCTACTGGACAGTACTGGTATAGATCAGGGTTTGGCCAGGCCAACTGCCTGTTTTTGTAAATAAAGTTTTATTGGAATACAGCCACAATCATTCCTCTATGACTGCTTTTGCTCTAAAGAACAGTTAAGTAGTTGAGACAAAGACCATATTGACTGCAAACCTAAAATACTTATCACTTGGCCCTTTATGAAAAAATTAGCTTACCTTTCATATAGATTAAAAACTTAAGACAAAGATTTAATAAAAATTTTTATCAATTCCAGCTGCCTTTGTCACCATGTTAAGATTCAAACATCTTGTCTTCAAATGCTGTCAATGTTCTCCATTATCTACCAAACTATCTCTTGTGTCTCACCAAGACACAATTTCTATTGTATCAAGTTCTGTTAATAGTTTCACTAATCTTTATCCTATTTCAGTGGTCCTCAACTCTTACTTAGAATAACCTAAAGAAACTTTTAAAAAATGCCTAGGACTTATTCAAGGTATTCTTTTCCAATTGGTCTAGGGATGAAGGATAAGCACAGGGCTTGTTTTTTAAGTTCTTAGGCTGATCTGATGTAAGCCAGGTTGAGAATCACTGCTTTCATCGATTTTCAGGGTCAGATGGTTCTAATGTCCACCCCAATTTATCTCCTCAGTCCCACTGCCTCTACCTTGCTCAGTGGGCTCACCATGTGGTTCCAGTTTACCTTCCTGGCTTTATGGATCTCTACTCTTTAGTTCCATTTAAACTGGACTTCCAAATACTTTCCCCAGCCCTCATGCTTCTCCCTTCCTTTGTTCATTGTTTCCATCCTCTCATTTCCACATCTTAGAAAACTGCAATCTGTTCATGAAATCTCTCCCAATTCCTCCTATCAGAAGTAATCATCTTCTCCTCAAAACATCAGCATTTATAAAATGGTATTCAGCCACAGCTGGTTTGGCTAGTAGATAGAGCATTGAGCCGCAGACTGAAGGGTCCCAGGTTCGATTATGTCAAGGGCATATACCTCATTTGCAGGCTCAATCCCTGGCCTTGGTCGGGTGTGTGTGGGACGCAACCAATCAATATGTCTCTCTCACATTGATATTTCCTACTGTCTCTCCCTCTCCCTTCCTCTCTAAAAATCAATGGAAAAATATCCTCAGGTGAGGAAAACAAAGAAGAAAAAAAGAAAAAATGGTATTCATCTCATTCAGCCTTGTATTAAGTAATCTATGATCCTTTCTCATAGATAGATAAAAACATGATGAGAAAGAATCCTCGGTTGGCTGCCTCCTGCACACCCCACACTGGGGGTATAGCCTGCAACTCATGCATGTGCTCGGACTGGGAATTGAACATCCACCTTCTGATTCATAGGTCAATGCTCAACCACTGAGCCATGCCAGCTGGACTCAGTCTGCTTCTTGAAGCAAGGAGTTGACTTGTTCTGAATGGGAACAGGCTGTCAGGAGGGTTTTGAGAAGTTACAATTTAAGTTATGCTTTAACTCTCTAGATTTTTCTTGCTAGCCAGCTTCTGTACAGTTACACTATTTCCATCAGTGGAACAAACCAAACAGTTAAGGATTCAAAGCAGCATTTTCAAGGTGCTTCCCTAGATCATGCAAAATGTATTAACTGTTCTTGCACAACTTTCAAAGAGAAAAGTGTCTCAATTTTCAAAGTAACAAACTGAGCTTCTCTTTCACATCCACTTTTTAATCTCCTCATTCATCTCCATTGATATTCTCCAAAGCAAGTGAAAAAGTGGTGAGTATCCCATAGTTGTTGGACGAAGGAGAACTAGGCAGTTAGTAAGCAGGTGAATGAATTAAGCAAAAACAATAGAAAAGAGTAAAATATATTTTTATTGATTTTAGAGAAGGGAGAGAGATAGAGAGATTGAAACATCAATGATGAGAGAAAAATCATTGATTGGCTGCCTCCTGCACAACCCCTAGTGGGGGTTGAGTCCACAACCTGAGCATTTGCCCTTGATCGGAATCAAACCCAGGACCCTTCAGTCAGCAGGCGGACAGCTCTATTCACTGAGCCAAACCAGCAAGGGCAAGAATAATTATTTTTTAAGCATCAAGGAGGAAAATTACACAGAAGATGACTAGCTGTATTCCAACTTGACTAAAGGAACATTCAAAACTGGATGAGCGTGGCTGGTGTGGTTAAATGGTTGAGCATCAACTTATGTACACGAGGTCAAAGTTCAATTCCAAATCAGGACACATGCCTGGGTTTCGGTCTCTATCCCCAGTGTGTGGCATGCAGCCAATCAATGATTCTTTCTCATCACTGATATTTTTCTCTCTCTCTCTTTCCCCTTCCTCTCTGAAATCAATAAAAATATATATTTTTAAAAATTGGCTGAAAAGAGGTTGAACTTCCTGGCCAAATTTTTATGCACTGGAAAGGAAACTAGGCTAAGGAATTTCTTTTCAGAGATGACAGAACAAGACCTAGGGTGAGTATATTAAGCAAGGAAAGATGATTGTACATGAAGGCCCCTTCTAGGCCAGAGTCCTAAAGGAAAAAAAGAAAGAGAAATGACTCACTTTGGAGCAGCTACTTCCTATATATTCAGGGTCCAATACAGTAACCCTACCCACATATGTCTATTTAGCACTTGAAGTGGCGCTAACATCACTTAAATGATAATTTAGGTATTTTGGATTAAATAAGTTGTTAACTTAAAAGTCAGGTGTGGCTCACATTGTATTTTTATTAGATAACACGGACTAGATTTTTTATGTCTATTATTATGCACTTCAATTCTCAACTATATTCTTGGTAGGTCTTATTACTTTATGGGAGACAGAATAGAAGCAAAAATATTATGTGCCAAAAACTACATGCTTTATGTGTATTACTTCATGTAACAGATACTGAGAAAATAAGCAACCTGCCTAATGTCACATGGGTAGTCAAAGACAGAGCGAGTCTAACTCCATGCCCTTTTCCACACCACAGTGACTTCCTTTAACAAAAAGGATAGAGAAACTGATGGGCAGATCCCAGCAATGATCCAAAGCCTTTTCTTTCGCTCATCTGTTCACCCAGTCCCTCCTATCTGTAGTGTCAGCCCAAGAATTATGAGATTAAAGCTTAACTCACCAGGGCCTCTCTTATCCCAGCCACAGATCATGGTGCCCATGGACAGCCCCATGCCTTTGTACTGATAAACCATGTTGGCGAGCAGTTTGGAGGCAGCTGCTACTGAGATGCGTTCCTTGTTTCGAAGCTCATAGATTCGACATTGCCGAGCCAATAGCCGCTCCCAGAAGCTGCAATCTGCGGCACCTCCAGCCATGGTGCCCAGCAGGTAGGGGTTGATCTCTATCACCTTCTTCACCGTCTGGGAGGCAATGTAGGCACCTGCTGTGGCCCGAGAGTCCGCTGCAACAATGACTCCATGTTTAAACTGTTAAGATGAGAGGCGAACACAAAGCAGGCCACGTTAGACCACAGAAACATCCCCCTGACATTTCTTTTTGCATCCGTGCAAACCCAGGGCATCTCTTCCTCTGTCATTTTACACTTCACTACTTACCAGCAATTTTCAACCGGTGTGCTGCATGAAATTTTAAAACATGCAATACCTATTTGGTCAGGGACACTGACATCCTTCCCCTTAGGTTGTCAAAAAATGACAACAGCCAAGGCAATAGTCATCCGGTGTGAATGAATCAAAATTATACCTATTTTTTTGGGTCACGTATATAAAAAAACATATATTTTGGTATGCCACATAATTTTAGTGCTCAATTTATGTGTGCCATGAGATTAAAAAAAAGGTGAAAATCACTGCAATATACTTTTCCACATATTGTCACTTGAGCTTCACATCAGTTCTGTGACATAGGTATAGACAGTATTTCTCTCATTTTATAGATGAGGAAAAAGGCTTAATGAGATAGAATGACTATCCAAGACCGTAGAGCTAGTTATTGCAAAGCTGGGCCAGGAATCCCAATAGTCTGGCCCCTAGTTCTGCAGCGCTCCCTCTCAAGATCCCCCTCTTGTCATAACCCAGAGGGGCCGTTCCGTTTCCAAAACCTTTGGTGAGTGGTTACAACCTCCTTCCTTCAGCCAAAGTTCCTTGCTGGGGCTGCCTCCCTTTTCAGGGAAGAAGCAACCACAAGTGGCCAAGGAATCAACCTACGCAGCCTCAGGGTCTTTCTCCTTCCAGCCCCAGCCCCAGCCCCAGCCCCAGCCCGAGCCCCGGCCCCGGCCCCGGCCTCGGCCCCGGCCCCAGCCCCAGTCCCAGCCCCGGCCCCTGCCTCAGCCTCATGTCCCCTGCCCCATCCCCTAATCCCAGCCCCCAAACCCCAGCCCCAGCCCACACCCTCTCGGCCAGAGCGAGACCCGAGGCCTCCCGGGGCAATAAGACCGCCGGAGCGAGACGAATGACCCGAGCCTCCGCTTGAGCCTCGCGGCGCGGCCACTGCGGGCCCCGGTCCGGGAAGGGCGCGGACGCGCGGGCCTCAGTCCGGCTCAGCGGCGGGGTCCGCACCTTGAAGGCCAGGGTGGTGGTTCCATGAAGTATTTCGATCCTCGGCTCCTCTGGGACACCCCAGCTGGGCGCGGCGAGGCTCAGCCCATCGCTGGGACTACCTGGACCCAGGTCCAACAGATCCGCACGACCCCCGAGCCCGAAGAACCCGTGCCGGTTCACCGGGACCGAGCTCTCCAACACACTGGCCAGCGCCATGTCTAGTGAGGGCAACAGGAACCGCCCCCGAGGACGCCTAGTCGATACCGGCCGGGCAACGTCTGACGTCCCAGCTTCACTTCCTATTAACGCTCAGGGAGGAGCCATTTTAACTCCTGGCAACCACGCCTCCAAAGACTCGCGCCAGATGCAGGGGACCATTTTCGCCGAGCTGGAGGTGGGGGTGGGGAGAGGAGAAATGGCTTTACTACCCTTAACTTCTAAAGGGATATATGCCTGCCATGTTAGGTTTTGTCATGCAAACGGTGCTGGATTAGATTAACCTCAAATTCCTAGGGAGCGATCGGAAACGCCCACGTCGAGCGAGGGAAGCGCGGCCGGCCATCTTTGAGAAGGGCGTGACTGGAGGAAAATGGGTTCTGGAACCGCCCAGCCAGGTGTCCAAGCAACACTTCCCGTCTCCACTGCGTCAGCACCCTAGTAACGCCACTGGCATTGAAAATGCCATTTTGTTTTACTTGATAAAATAATGATCTGCTCTGAGGTTATTTTCCTACGAAGTTAGTTAAACCACATTTGTTTGTGGTAAAAGCGCAACAAAAAGGAGGGAAAAAGAAAGGCGCAACAAAATGAAAGTGCTATACTTGTTTGATAGTGTTAAGCACCACATACCCAGGTTCTCTATCAGTAACCACTTTAAAATATATATATATGTTAATGATTTTTTTACAGAGAGGAAGAGAAAGGGATAGAGAGTTAAAAACATCGATGAGAGAGAATCATCCATCAGCTGCCTCTTGCACACCCACCACTGGGGATGTGCCGGCAACCAAGGTACATGCCCTTGATCGGAATCGAACCTGGGACCTTTCAGTCCTCAGGCATTCGCTCTATCCGTTGATCCAAACTAGTTTCGGCAGTAACCACTTTTTAAGATTTCATATTCTCTTTACTCCCACCCTCTGGTGGAAATTCTAATGAGTAATGAAGTGCCTAAAAGGCATATGGAAGAATAAAGAAGGAAAAGCAAAGGGCTTAGCTAATCCACAAACTAGATCTTCATTTCACCTTCTGTATAACGTAGTCATTGACAGTCTCAGAGGCTGGAGAGAGTTGGGGCTCCATACTAGGAAAGAAGAAGAAGCAAGAGGAGGAGGAGGAGGAGAAGGAGGAGGAGGAGAAGGAGGAGGAGGAGGAGGAGGATGAGGAGGAGGAGGAGGAGGAGGAGGAGAGTCTATCAAGAGGTTCTCCTAACTTAAGGTTGTTAGAGGAGCTCTTTATTCGGGAATGCGGTAGTTAACTGTCACTCCCTCTCCTCCACCCACCTTCAGTTTCCAAGCCTTTTGGGAACCATAACAAGGAAGTGGGCAAAGGTATGAAAGTTTGCCTCCCGCTTTATGGTTTTATGAAGTCAGTGTCTGGCCTTCCTTGTTGGATTCCAGCAGTAACATACATCAATACCTAAATTCCACTTTTCCTCTGATGCCCAACTCAGCCCCTTCTCTTCCCCAGCAAATTCTTCATGTGTTGTATTTTTAGAGCTGAAATTTGGCAACTCTCCCCCACCTCCACCATCAGAATGTAAGAAGCAGAAGATCCTTATCTGGCATGGAGCAGGTATTATTTTGCAGTCACCTCTGTACTGCAACTAGTCCTCCTCCTGACTTCTCTCAATGGTTCTTTTACTCTGCCAGTAATAGCATTTGTACCTCTTTTAAAGCACGTTCACATTTTACCTACTTTTAAGTTTACATTTATCTCCTACTGAATTGTGAGCTTTTAAAGACAGGTATTTCTCGCCGAAACTATTTGGCTCAGTGGATAGCACTTTGGCCTGCGGACTGAAGGGTCCCAGGTTCTATTCCCGTCAAGGGCATGTGCGGACACATCTCCAGTAAGGGGTGTGCAGGAGGCAGCTGAACAATGTTTCTCTCTCATCGATGTTTCTAACTCTATCCCTCAACCTTCCTCTCTGTAAAAAATCAATAAAATATATTTTTTTAAAAATAAAGACAGGCAATTCTCTGTTATTTATCTCTGTGCCCACTGTGTACTTAATACATTTGCCAAATGAGTACCTGAAAGCATGACAATAATGTTCTTCCAGTCACAGGCTTGACGTCCTGGCTCAGCTTTGACAACTCCCTTTCCTTTCCTCCACAAACAGAAAGTTGCCAAGTCTTGATAATTCTTGCTCTACAGTGTGTCTCACCTTCTTTCCAATGGTAGCTAATACTTCCTTTGACTTGTCTCCTCACTCTTCAATCACTGAAATGTTCGCCTAACTGATTTTCTGGGCCCAAAAATGTACTCTCTAATTCATTCTGCAGAACACCAGATAGATTTTCTAAAACAGAATCTTGATCTTATCACTTTGCCTGCTTAAAAATGTACTATGGCCTGGCTGGTGTGTTGCAGTGGTTGAACCGGGAGGTCACAATTTGATTCCAGGTCAGGACACATGCCTGTGTTGCAGTCTCAATCACCAGTGTGGGGTGTATAAGAGGCAGCCAATTGGTGATTCTCATCACTGCTGTTTCTATCTCTCTTGCCCTCTCCTTTTCACTCTGAAATAAAAAATATTTTTTTAAATTAAAAAATGTACTATGAAGTTTAATTCTTCAATATGGGATTCAAGGACTTTCATGATCAATTCAGAATTTACTTTATATTAGTTCTCTGTTCTACAGTCCATACTCATGGGGACCACAAAAGGGAGGTACAAATGATAAGAGCTGCTGTTGGGCCTGGCTGGCATAGCTCTGTGGTTGAGTGTCAATCCATGAACCAGGAGGTCATGGTTCAATTCCTGGTCAGGGCACATGCCTGGGTTGTGGGCTCAATCACCAATGTGGGGCATGTAGGAGGCAGCCGATCAATGATTCCCTCTCATCATTGATGTTTCTATCTCTCTCTCCCTTCCTTCTAAAAAGAAAAAAAAAAAAAATATATATATATATATATATATATTTTTTTTTTTAAATATATATAAATATATATATATTTAAAGAGCTGCTGATGCCGAAACCGGTTTGGCTCGATGGATAGAGCATCGGCTTGGGGACTGAAGGGACCCGGGTTCGATTCCGGTCAAGGGCATGTATTATACCTTGGTTGCGGGCATATCCCCAGTAGGGGGTGTGCAAGAGGCAGCTGATCGATGACTTTCTCTCATTGATGTTTCTAGCTCTCTATCTTTCTCCCTTCCTCTCTGCACAAAATCAATAAAATATATTAAAAAAAAAAAAAGAGCTGCTGATGGTAGGAATGTAAATAGAAATAGCACTATGGAAAACAATGTGAAGGTATCAAAAAATTTAAAAATACAACATATGATCCAGCAATGCTACATTTGGGTATTTATCTGAGGGAAATGAAGTCACTATCCTGTAGAGATATCTGCACCCCAGTGTTCATTACAGTATCAATTCATAATAGCTAAGACCTGAAAACAACTATATTACATGTGAATATTACTCAGCCATAAAAAAGGAAACTGCCATTTATGACAAGAATGAGCCATTTATATAAGTGTCCATCCGACCAGTAGCTATGACTACCAGAGGGCAGACGCTCAATGCAGGAACTGCCATGATGTGCACTGGCCATTTAAAAATAAATGGCACCATGGACCTGGCACTGACAAACCAATACTCGGCTTTCCCCAAGTGGGACACAGGCCCTGCCACCAACCTGGAGTGACACCCCACCAAATCACAGCCAATGCTGCCAAGATCCCATGGTGCAAAATGTGGCCCACAGCACAGCACAGCCTGAAAACGGTCACTTTGGGCACTGGATAATGATGTCACATAGCAATGCTAGGCTTCCTCTCCCTAGTGACTAGCCTCCTTGAAGTTTCTTCAGAGCAGGAACCTGACTTGCTTTATAGCCAGGTGGAAACATTTTACAGTTTAACCAAATGTTTGTGAAGTGTTTTCCCATGAATCATCTCATTTGATCCTTACAGATGTCCTGGAGTAGGTAGACAAGAGACTTGGTAGAATCCTATTTTCTTTTCATTATCTGGAAAATGGAGATTTAGAAAGTTTAGAAACTTCACCTGACTGAAAAGAAGTAAGAAATGATGTATCTTGAAAATGACTTCAGGTCTTCTCACTGTGCAGAATATAGTCAAACACTGCTGCAGTTAAATATTTTACCCTTTATTCTCCCTGCATGATCTATAATAATAATCTGCTTCATGTTGATATTTACTGCTGTGTTGCTCACAATTATCTGAAAGAGAAGTTGGGATGCTTCACTGGGTTGGAAAAAAGTTTAGCTAAATCTCAAAGCAGATTTAATTAATCAAATTTATCTATCTATATATATATATATATAAAAGGCTAAGTTGACTCACACATGCACGATACATATGAAGCTCTTGCTTGTGACAATTATATGAGTGTGTTTTGATCTGTCATTTTCTTTTCTTTTTAAAAATATATTTTATTGATTTTTTTACAGAAAGGAAGAGAAAGGGATAGAGAGCTAGAAACATTGATGAGAAAGAATCATCAATCAGCTGCCTCTTGCACATCCCCACCAGGATTACCCACAACCAAGATACATGCCCCTGACTGGAATAGAACCTGGGACCCTTCAGTCCGCAGGCCAACTCTTTATCCACTGAACCAAACCAGTTAGGGCTAAAATATTTCTTATAATTAATTTTCTTTCAATGTGCACAAATCTGTGCACCAGGACACTAATGTGTGTGTGTGTGTGTGTGTGTGTGTGTGTGTGTGTGTGTTTGGCCAGATTATTATGATATCTGAATGCATAATAATCTGGTCACTCAGTGTATATCCTATATAATAAAAGGCTAATATGCAAATTGTCCCCTTGACTAGGAGTTTGACCAGCAGGCAGGCCAGCCAACTGCCCATGTTCCCTCCCCTTGGCCAGGCTGGCTGGACCCACCCATACATGAATTCATGCACAAGGCCTCTAATATATATATATATATATAGTATATAAGATATATATTATATAGGATGTGGTGCTATATATATATACGTATAACATTTTGCTAT